TTCGTTAGTTGCTTCATTTTGACGTTTATTCTTTACTAGCACCTTCCATCAGCTCTGTCCTGCCTTACAACATTTTTATTCACTAAATCTTCTCTCTGTTACTTTCAGAGTACTGAGTATTCCCTTTATATGGACAACTTATATATAAAGAAAGGGGAAATCATTTGATAGCCTAAAATCTTAATAATATTGTCTTAAAATAAAATGAGTTTTATTATTTTAATATATGGTAAATATTTTAGACCCAAGGTGGGCACTATAACCATCAGTCATCTAATGTTCCCTATTTAATGAATCTGGTGATCCTTATCTTATAAACTTCCAATTTGTGCATTTCTCAAAGATATATATATATATCCCACATCACTCAACTTTAGCTTTCCCACTTCTCCCAAGAACATTTCACCCAAGACCTAAGTAAGTTACCTGATATCTAATGGGGTCACTGTGTACAACAATGCCTTTTCCCCACCAACTATTTCTTCTTTAGAGGCATATGGAACACACCACACCTTTTCTCTTATTCAGTTCATTCCAGTTCAATCAATTTGTTTGTTTTCTTTAAATAAGTTTCATTGATTCAATTTGTTTCTACATCACAATAATTTGTGAATATTGCTTCACTACCCCTGTTATATAAGAGAAACTTCCATTGTTACAAATAAAAAATAAATCATTATTGTTTAGTCATGTTCAGTTGTGTCCAATTCTTTGTAATCTCATTTCAGGTTTTCTCAGCAAGGATACTACAATGGTTTGCCATTTCCTTCTTCAGCTCATTTTGCCAATGAGAAATTGAGGTAAACTGGGTTAAATGACTTGCCCAAGGTCACACAGCTAGTAAACATCTGAAGCTATATTTGAACTCTGGAAGAAGAATAGTTCTAACTCTGGGCCCAGAATTCTAATCCAGCTAGCTGCCTTAAAAAGTTAGGCAAAACCAATCTATATGGTAACCCAAACTAATGATCTATATTGTTCCATTTCTTATGGCCTCCATCACATTGTCCTTTTCCCTCTCCAATTTGTGAGCCCCAAATCAACCTTTTTCATGGTTGATAAGGAACAGGAAACTTCAAAATATCAAGGTTGTTAGATATTATTTAGAAGAAGTAACTTCAAAGGATTGGGTGCCTCTTGTAAGACAAAAAAAAAAGTACTTTAAAAAAAGAAACTTAATGACATGTAAAGAACATTGGATTTACATTCAGAGTAACCATATACTCACTAGATATTTGATTGTGGACAACACACTTTACCTCTGTAAACCTCAGTTTCCAAATCTGTAAAATAAGGAGGGGCAGCTGTGTTGGATGGTTAATAAGGTCCCTTCTGGTTCTAAATCTATGACCTTGTGACAGCTTATGTCATAGAGTTTAGTACTTTATACACAATCTTCTGTTCTCTACCTGTTTCACATATTTAAAAAATTTCCACTCACCAAGATAATGAGCTCCTAGAAATCAGGAAACAACTCTTCTGTTTCCTCTAATAAAAAAAAAAAAGCACCATTGCCTCAAATTCTAGTATTCAAAATAAATGAAACTTGATAAAAAATTGTCCCATGTTTCTTTTTTTTTAATTCCTTGAATGAAAAAGTGGAAAAGTACTTATCAAGCCTTTACTACAAGCTAGGCACTTTATACAATACTTGAACTGCAACAGTGTTTTTTTCTAACAAGTTTTCCTTTCAAATGTGTACTGTTTCAGCTGTATGTGTTAAAATAAGACTTTTGTCAGCTGGTCTGAGTACCAGCCCCATTTTTATGGGAAAATGCTCTGTCACTTTCAAACAAGTGACTTACAAAGATATAATTGCCTATGGGTAGGCTTCTGGCCTCATCCGTCAATGAAATCTCCTTGTAATTGCTAAATCTAATCACCTTTTTTCTCAATCCTTATTCTTCTTGACCTTTTTGCAACCTTTGATAATGTTGATCACCCTCTTCTCCCTGATATTCTCTTCTGTCTAGGTTTCTGTGGCACTATTCAATCATGGTTCTATCTGTCTCATCAATCCTTCCCCTTTTCTTTTGTTACATCTCCATCCAGGTCATAAATCATAATGGTGGGTATCCCTTATGGCTCTCTTCTGGACCTTCTTTTCCCTATACTATTTTGATTGGTGTCTCATCAACGCTCCTCATTGCAGTTATCATCTCTCTGCAGATGATTCTCTAATCTACTGATCGAGCCCTAACTTCTCTTCTAACCCCCAGACTCACATCTCCAAATGCCTAGGGGACATTTCAGACCAGATAGCTCATAAACATTTTAAACTCAATAGGTCCAAAACTGAATTCATTCTTCAAACTTTCCTTCTTTGGAAGTTCCCTATTACTGTTTAGGGTACCACCATCTTCCCAGTCATCCATAACCTAGTTGTCATTCTTGACTCCTTATTCTCTCATACTCCCATAATCCCAATCTGCTGCTGAGTCCTGTAATTTTACTTTCATGACATCTGTTTTATAGACCCTCTTCTCTCAACTAACACTGCCAATTCCCTGGTACAGGACCTCATAACAACACACCTGGATTGTTACAATAGCCTGTTTGGTTGGTCTTCCTGTCTTAAATCTCTCTCCATTCAAGTCCATCCTCCACTCAGTGCTCAAATTGATCTTCCTAAAGTACCATGTCACCCAACCTCCCTCTCCGCCTATTTAAAAGTTTTCAGTGGCTCACTATTACTTCTAGGACAAAATATTAAATCATTTTCTGACATTGAAAGCCCTCAAAACCTTTCCCCTTCCTGCCTTTCCAGTTTTTCTTATTCCTTATACACCCCCTTATACACTGTGATCCAGTGACACTAGTATTCTTGATTTCTTTGCACCAGACATCATATGACTATAACCCTAACCCTGATCCCATCTCCTGATTCTGTAATTTCCCTGGTTGTCTCTCAGGGCTAGAATTTTCTCCCTGCTCATCTCTACCTACTGCCTTCCATGGTTTCTTTCACATTCTGTAAGAAGCATTTCAAGATCTCCCTTAATGCTCATAGCTTCCCCCTCTTGATTTTCTCCAATTTATTCAATATACATCTTGTTTGTAAGTAGTTGTTTTTCATGTTTTCCCCTCAAATAGACTATAAGCTCTTTCTTTTATCCTCAGCACTTAACACTGTGCCTGGCACATAAGTAGGTATGCTTATTAACTGACTGACACTTCTGGATACAACCTGTTTGTAATATGGAAGGCAGTATTCCCTCGATTAAAGTGTGAGGAGTCAATTATGTAAGTCAATTCCTTCATGGCTTCAGCTGTGGGAATGAACACCAGTGATGTCAAGACCACCATAGTTTGAATCTCAAGCATATTTTCATCCCAAGCAAGATATATGAAATACTGGCAAGTAAAATTAAAAAGTTGAAAACACACAACCTCTCTAACTTTCCTGTAGTCTCAATTAAAAAGCACAATTTATTCCTCTTCAGTAGTCTTACTAATCTTTCATAGCAATTTGGCCACACTGGAAAAGTTTGGGTCCTTACGAAATAGAGTTGTATGAAGGAAAAAAAAAACATATTTACATCTTGATGAGGGTAGAGAGAAATACAAGATGAAATGAAAGTAGCAGCACCTGGATAAGGTGAAAGGAGAGAGAGTGTAATAAATGGGGGGAAATAGGATAGAGGGAAATATGAAGTTAGTAATCATAACTGTGAAAAATATTTTGGAGAGCAATTTGGAACTATGACCAAAGGTCTATAAAACTGTGCATACCCTTTGACCCAGCAATACCACTGCTTAGTATCCCAAAGAGAAAAAAAAAAAGGAAAAGGGTCTATATGTACAAAAGTATTTATAGCAGCTTTTTTTTTTGTGGCAGCAAAGAATTGGAAATTGAGGAGATGTCCATCAACTGGGGAATGGCTGAATAAATTATAGTATGTGATTATGATGGAATAGTATTGTAGTATAAGAAATCATGAGCAGGATGCTCTCAGAAAAACCTGGAAAAACATACATAAACTGATACAAAGTGAAATGAGCAGAACCAAGAGAATATCATATACAGTAACAGCAATATTGTATAGTAGTCAGCTGGGGAAAATGTACCTGTTCTCAGCAATACAAGATCCAAGACAGTTCTGAAGGATTTAAAAAGAAAAATGGTACCCGTCTCTAGAGAAAGAACTGACAGAGTCTGAATGCAGATTGAAGCATGCTTTTTTTTTTTACTTTTTGGTGGGGGGGAGGGATCTGTTTTATTTCTCACCATGACTAATATGGTAATATGTTTTTCATGATTATACATATATAACCTATATCAAATTGCTTGCCTTTTGAATGAGGAATGAAGGGAGGCTGGGAGAGAGAATTTGGAACTCAAAATTTTTAAAAAATGAATGTTAAAAATTGTTTTTCCATGAAATTAGCAAAAAGATAAAATATTAAAATGTTTACATTAAAAAAAAAAGCTGTGTTAGGAAGCTGTTTTAATAGTTTAGAAATTGGTATGCGTAGTTCCCTGGACTAGTATAGTAACACTGCGGGTATAGAAAAGAAAGGTGGATTCAAAAAATATTGTAGAGGCAGACAGAGTGGCTTAGATTAAAGTGTCATGTGAAAGGTAGAGGAGAGGAAAACATCAAAGATAGCACAGGATTTTAAATATGGATGCTTGGACGGATGGCTTTGCCCTAATTGAAGGAAAGCAAGTTTAAGAGAAGAAATAAAAAACTTTATTTGGGCATGCTGAATTTCAGCCATAGGTGGGAGATGTACTGTAGACAGTTAGATCTAAATATAAAGAGTTGAAATTATTATTTGTCCTTCATTCTCAGAGAGAACCACAACATCAAGAGGGTGATGTCCTGTTTTGCAAGTAAATTGGATTTACGTGAAGCAGGGCTTTGTAAAGTCATCAGCCTCACTGTCACCTCCAGAGTCATCTGAGTCCAGTGGCAAGACATAGGTCAGGATGACTGGAGATGGCCCCAGATGCAGTGGGATTCTTTGGCCTTTCTAAGCTAAGGTCTTTCCCTATTTTATTAAATAGAATTTCTAATCATTGGAAAATAGTCAACTTTTGAAAATTCAAAGACGTTTCTCATGTGTTCCACCAAAATTTATGGTTCTAATTCTAGAAGGACAAAATAATTGGGTTATAGTATATGTGTCATGTAAGTTTTTTCTTTCTAAAATAAGTAATATCTTTTTTCCCCAGGTGGACTTAGTCACAGGTTTAGCAATAGAAGAAGCCTGTTATGCTCAGGTAATTTTTAAAGTTAAAATTATAATTCAATAAATTTTTTAAAATAATGTTTAACAGTAGAATGTAAGCTTCTAGAGGGCAGGGATTTATTTTTCTCTGTCCCCAGTAATTAACATAATTATTGGCTTATTGTATATTTTTATTATGTTTTGTATTTCATATAAATAACTCCAACAAGAGTTATGTAGAGATGGATTAAAATTAACACTTTTTAGTGCTTTAGCATTACCAGTGAATTCCTTTGTCCCCCAAATTGGACCAGTTTTCTTTACTAGATTGTATTAATTATGAAAACTTCTTAAATATTTAGATTGATCTTATATGTGTTTGTAGCAGTAATCTGATAATTTAGTCTAATATAGGTCTTATCCTGCACCAGAGGTCTCAAACTCAAGGCAAGCAGAGCCTAGAACGTATATTCCCAATGCTGGCAAGAACCAGATAAAATGTAATTGGGAAATGTTTAACAAAATAAATAAAAATACAATAAAATATTGATAGTGTTAATTTGTGGTTTCTAAGCCAATATGCAGCTGTCAGAGATATGTTTCTCTTTGAGTTTGACACGATTGTCCTACACCAAAGTCAAGTTAGGATATTGGTCCATGAGTGGAGTTCAGTATTTTGATTAGTATCTTATTAATTGTTAAAAGTTCAGTAGAATGAACTACAGTTCTGAGTCATTTCCCAACCTTTTGAAGTAACTGTTTTAAATAGTATATTTACTTTGGCAGTTAAAAATAGATGCAATGTGTAAATCATATGAGTTTTTATCATTTTTCTCCACAAAATTTAAATTCATTTTAGGTCATGTCTGTACTCACCTAAAAAAGCAAAATATATTTTTCTGTTGTTCTGAAAATGTAGCTTCCACCTGCTTAGGGATTGTATTGTATTTTTTTCTTTTGTTTTTCTTCTCATAAATTTTATGATCTATAACCTGTTTTAAAAAAAACCATGGAGTTAATGTATTTTTTTCCATTGATCTGTCATTCTAGCACTTACACATTATTTTGTTGTTCTTAGACTATTCCAACCAAAGACAGACTTGAAGGTCTTCTGGCTTTTAAAGAAAAAAGGCCCCCTCGTTACAAAGGAGAATAAAACACATAGAAGCTTTGTCATTCATATGTGCTCTCCCTACTTCTAGAAGTACCTTTGTGGTGTATCTTGAGGCAAATGGATTTATAACCACCAAAATGAAAAGCAAGCTACTCATAGAATGCATTAAACATCTGGAATGTGCTCAACCATGTACTTCATTAAAGCACATACACTGTTACATTCATTGTTTATGAAGATATGTACTGATTCAAAGCCAGGTTGTTGGGTTTTTTTTTTTAATTTCATATGTTATTAGGCATCCCATTCCTAATTTTTAAAATGTGAATAATTGCTGTAGACCAAGCCTAAGAAATAATGTTAAATATATGTGTGTCATACTGCATTGAAAAAAATAAAGGTGAACTTCTGTACACCCAAAACATGAGGTATACCAAATAAAGTTTTAAAATATTACATAGGAGATTTCATATACATGTGTTAATGCACACATATAGCTCAGAAAGAAATTAAAAGATAATTGCGAGTTGTAAAATGCAAATAAAGTTAGTGAAATGAAGCTATATTTGCTTATAAATTATTATCAGTGTTTTGTGTTTTTGATTGAGTAGGTCATTCCATATTAGCTTTTCAGAGAAATGAATTGGAATAAAGTGGATATTAAAAAAACAAAACAAAACAGGAGACAAAATTACCAGTTGGTCAGCCTGTTTCAGGCTGTATGATTAAAGCAGTATGATACAGTGCAAAGAGTACTAGGTTTGGAATCCAAGGACCTGGATTCAAATTGTGCCTTCTTTATACCTATATAACCTTGGACAAGTCACTTAACCTCTCTGGGTCCCAGTTTTCTCATCTATAAAATGAAGGGATTTGACTAAATGGTCCCTGAGGTACCTTTCATCTCTAGATCTATGATCCTATAATGAATAATGTTAAGTTAACGTTCAAACATTTCAGGTCAAAAGGCCTTTTTAAGGTCTCTAGAAGCATGGAACTTGCTCCTCTCACCCCCACATTTTTAATGATATTTTTTGGTTTTACATCACCTTAATTTCCCAGAAAACCATCCTTTGTAACAAAGAATACAAGGGAAATGGGGAGAGGGAGTAGCAAGAAGAAGCGAGGTTAAAAAGTTTGGCAGAATTAACATTACTAGACTCATAGTATAGGCAGTGTTGCACACCCATAGCCCTCCACCTGTGCAAGGGAGATGCCATTCTTCTTTCCTTCATAGCCATGCTTAATCGTTATAATTACACAGTATTCAGTTTTGTTGTTTCTTCTTGTTTCCATTTATATTTTTCTAGTCATTGTGTATGTTTTTCTGGCTACTTACTTAACCCTACATCAGTTCATGTCTTCTTATGTTTCACTATATTCTTCACCTTCATAGTTATAGCACAGTACGATTTTTCTTATTCAGTCGTTTCGGTTGTATCTAACACTTCATGACCCCATTTGGGGTTTTCTTGGCAAAGATACCACAGTAGTTTGCCGTTTCCTTCTCCGGTTCGTTTTTCAGGTGAGAAAACTCAGGCAAACAGGGTTAAATGACTTGCCCAGGGTCACACAGATAGTAAGGGTCTGAAGCCAGATTTGAACTAAGGAAGATTACTCTTCCCGACTCCAGGCCCTGTACTTTATCCACTGCAGCACCAAGCTGCCCTACAGTACTACTGATTTATCACAATTTGTTTAATCATCCCCCACTCAATAGCCATAGACTTTATTTCCAGTACTTGCTACTACAAGAAGGGGAACTGGCATCCTTAAAACATTTCTGTTGAGAAAGTGATATACCTCATTGACATTTTGCCAGAGAGCCAAGTTCTTTAAAAAGAAATAGTGGCTCCTTCTACTCCAGAAATTACTTTGTGCATTTTGTTTGTGTATTTACTGATTTGTGTTCTTGTTATCTCCCCTCAATTATTTAAACTTCTTGAGAGCAAGGAAACTCAGCACCTTACACAGTACCTACCACGTAAGGATCAGGCCTTTGATTTCATTAGTTTAGGGAACTCCCAAGTGAAGTTGTGCAAATGGGTACCTCCTCTGTAACTTATAGTTTTAGAGGGTTTTTTAGAGTAGTAGAGTCAAACTCAAATAGAAAAAGATCCCTACAGGCCACAAATTGACTTAGAAAGCCCCAAATAATATCATCTGCATTGTATCATATTTTGATTTATTTTGTTAAACATCTTCAGATTGCATTCTAATCTAGTTTGGCACACTTCATTCAGTCTACACAAGCCTAAAGTTTGACACCCCTGTCCTAGAGCACCCAGAAGTTAAATGATTTGCCCAAGATCACATAACCAGTATGTGGAATTTATCTGTTAGATACTTAATAAATTATTACTGAATGAATGAATTGAATAATCCAAGTGTGTCCATGACAACTAGCTTTGGATCATGCTGGGAAATAGAACAGAGACTATTTCTTTACAGATTCCTACCTACAACCCATATGTTCTGACTTCTACAAAGCAGATAAAGTAGCAAAGAATATGATTTTTTAATAATCTCTGTAATGAGATCATAGCTTTGCTTTTACCAAAAGTAAGCATGTAAATGGAGAAAGGGGATGTTGGATCCACAACACCCTGTCACTGGCTAGAACAAACTGGGAAGAAGAAAAGTATGGGTAAGTGGGTATGAAGCACATATAGAAGGGATTGAGAAGGAGCATATGCAAAATGTGCGTAGGGAAAATGGGTATTTAAAAATTGGGAAATAGTGAAATAATTTTCAATGACTACATTTTAAATCAGTGTCTAAGCCTAGGAAACTCAAGTGTTATCCAAATAGACAATAATATGTTCCCCATTCTCCCTTCTATGAACTATGGAAGTCTAAATTCTTGAAGTGATATATCTTCAGTTCTTATTTTCATCTCCATATTCTTTAGATGACCAACTATTTTATATTTATTGGTTTGTTTTCTTTGTTTGGCTTTATTTTTTCTTTTCAACTTGCTAAAGCCCATTCATTATTAAGGTGTCAGGGCACACCTAAAGACTTTTCCTTTATAAAATTTGGGCATGCTGATTCTTTCACAGATCATAAATTTGGAACTCTTAGGGACCGGAGAGTCTTGTCTAGTGTCCGAACCCATTTTGCTCAGGTTTGATGTTGGGACAAAATGAGGCACCATAAATCACTGAACATTCAGCAAAAGATGAGGTTTACTTTGCCCAACACAGTAACAATATGTGACAAGTATTTATAGCAAGGATACAGTGGCTCTTAGGCTCTCTGGAAACATCCCACTTTTTTCCATTTGGAAATGTGGCTGGTCAGGCAGTCATCAGGGTTTTAGCTGGCTACTTAACATCTCAGACACACACCAACTGTGAAAGGCCTGAGTCCCAAATTGCTTGGGCTTTTTATTGGCACTAGGCTAGGAAAGTGCATCAGAGAAGCTGAGACCAAACGTATTTGTGTGGGGGAGAATGCTGTGTCAGGGAAGCAGATGGGAAGCTGCATCAGAAAACTTCTGTGCTACTACCCCCCTCATTTTATATATGAGGAAACTGATGCTAAGTCACTTGTCCAAGGTCATACACAGAGTAAGTAGCAAAGCCAGCATTTTAACATAGGCCCTCAAGACTCCAAATTCAGTGCTTTTTCTATCATATTATTCATTTACTGAATTGAAGTGTTATTAGAAGAGTAATCTCTCCTAAGAGGCATTAGTCATTTTTCATTGAACCAACCTAAAATTGTGGAATCCGCAGTCAGAAAATATTGTACTCATTTTCCATGTTCTATTTTGATGTTTTTGATATGGAAAATTAGACTCTTTCAGAATTCTCTGATAACTGTAATAGTTAGTAAACTTTATAGTCAGAAGCTTGCTTATTTTAAATAAAATTAGGTTGTTAATATTTGTTCAACTCATGAATGTATTCCTCTACAATCTTCAGTATAGTGGCTGTGCAGATCTGTGGTTGTGGCTCAGCTATAATATGAATGGATGTTATTAAAGTTGATATTTACCAATATATCTAAATGTAAATTGATTATATCTGGTGGAGCATACACTTCGTTTACTAACTATTTCATGGTAATTTGCAAGTAAAGTACTTTAAAGCCTTCAGGGTCATTTACTTCTATCTTATGAAATGCTAAAATATCATTTTCATTTTTAGTGAGTAGGAGAACAAAAAAATTAGTGGGAGTTAAATGACATTTCTCATAATATAGATTTACAATCTGGTCTCTGGTTTCTAACAACTACAGTGTAGCTATTCAAAAGCTGCTGGGAGAAAAATGTCCAATTCCATATATTAATTCTTGTTATGGCCTCATTTAATTGAAGTGATATCTCAGTGAAATATAACACTTTTTTTCTTCCCATAAAGTGATCAAAACTCTTTGGTATTAAGTTATAAATTTAAAGGATAAAGAGAAATAGAAAGAACATGTAGATCTATTTGAAAAATAAAAAGTATTAATTTTAATGTAATTTAGATGCCTTTTAAGGTAATACGGTAATAAGGTAATAGATCTACAAAAGTTTCAGACTTCAATTTCCAAAAGAAACCTTGCTATTGACTAAAACCAGGTGGTTCTTATCAACTAGAAAAGACCCCATTATTAATTATATTCAGAGAATTTTTTAAAAAAACTTTTAAAGTGTAATGGGGCTGGGCATGGTGCACACTTCTGTAATGACTGCTGCTGGGCTGATGGATCCCTTGAGTTTGTCAGTTCTGCAGTGTGTAGTGCTAAAGCTGATTTGGGTCTGCACTAAGTCCAGAATTTAGTGGAGCAGAGGGCCATCAGATTGGCCAAGAAGGAGTAAGATAGCCCAGGTGGGAAAAATGGAGCAGATTAGATAGGTCTATGCCTCTCAGTACATACATACATACATACATACATACATACATAGTAATGAGTAATGCCATTTCTTTGGGCAAGACAGGAATGAAGGAGGAGATTGTGGCAGAAGGCATCTGAGTGAGATAAGGATGAGGGGAGAAGAGGGAGATCGTGGCAAATGGCTTCAATTTTTTTCCATAAAATATAAGGCAAGATTCTCAGTTGAGATGATGAGAAGAGAAAACATGGTAGGTCTGAGAAGGGATGAAAAGGTTTAGAAGAATTACTATGAAGAGTAGAGTATAGAAGAATTGCCTAGCAGTAGTGAGGACCCATTTGAGGTTATGTAACATAAATTGCATGGTTTTCTCTACCTTGATTCAACAGCACATGGGTGGG